CTCCTCCACCTCCTCCTCCTCTCTCCGCCTCCTTCCTCCTTCTCCACCCTCCTTTCCCTTCTCCTCCTCCTCCTCCTCCTTCTCCTCCTCCTCCTCCTCCTCCTCCTCTTCCTCCTCCTCCTCCTCAGGGAGGGGATCATCGGCAGCGAGCGAGAGGGGGAGGCGTGCGTTTTTTTTCCTCCGCGGCCGCAACGGGCGTTGTGAAGGGGGGAGGGGGGGGGACGGGATGGGGCATAACGCAGCGCCGCCCCCCCCAGCTGTGGTGCCGAACGCACTGCGGCAATGCCGGGAACGCAGTGAGAGGGGCAGCGTTACGTTGTGGGGGGGGTGGGGGGCATCAAGCGCGTTATGACCCAGATGGTAAGAAAGCACTCTCGAGAGTAAGAAGGAAAAGGCCTTCGCAGAAGGTGGCGGGGCTTCCCAGAAGGCCTTCGGCCTTCTGAGAGGTTGTCTGCGGCTTCGGGAAAGGCTTGGAAAACTTCTCAGACGGCCGGGGGACTGCCGAGCCTTCTGAGAAGGCCAGCCCCTTCTCACTTCCTCCCCCCTGGCTCGCCGCCGAGATAGACACGGGGGGGGCGGGGGGGGCGAAATTTCAAGGTTCGCGAGGCTCTCTTTCGTTTTCATGTGGCGGCGGATTCCGGAAATCCTGAAACCAAAGAAAATATTCATCTCTTTGGGGCGCATCTCTTGCTTCCGCCGCCTTCCGCCGAGCTTCTGCCTACTTCCGCCGGCGGAGGCGGCCTCGTTTTACTTCCGCCGACCTTCCGCCGCCCTTCCACCGCCTTCCGCCGAGGAAGAGATGACATCTCTTTCTACCCTCGAAGGTGAGGCCCTTGTTTTGGAACGCCCCGTGTGTCCTCGTCGTTTTATGTTGTCCAGCCTCGAGACGCTGGCCAGCGGCTGCACCTCGCCGAGAGCGCTCTGGGGGCTGCTTGGGATCGCCACGACCAGCCGCCGTGGAGGTCCGAGTCGTGAGCCGAAGGCCATCGGGGAGCTCGAAGAGGTCATGGGCAACGTTGCGGGCCCAGACCCCTTCGGGCAATGAACAAATCATAACGGGATTTGTTTCCGTATTCTCGGCCTCTGGAGGCCCTTACCGGCCCTCGGGGCCGTCAAAAAACGACTCAGGTTAAAAAACCAGTCCAGGGGAATGGGTCGAGACCTCTGAGAGCCGGCGTCATGAAAAAAGCATGGCGTCGGGGGTCTGGGGGGAAGGGTCCCCCTGTTCTGGGTCTCACGGCGTGCTCCGGCACTGCTCCCGACCTCCTGTGCTGGGTTTTCGTTTTGCACAGAGCACCGTGGGCATCTGCTCCTTCTGGCGCCCACCAGCGCGCCCAGTCGGGCGCGAAGCGGGCATAGTGCATCTCCCTCACACGGAGCTACTGGGCACTAGTGGTCACTATTGGGCGCCGGTTGGGCGCTCTTCGGCGCAACTGGGCGCCACTTGAGCGTTACTGGCAGATATGTATTCAGCCCAGGACGAGAGGAAGCTTCCATGATCTGCCATCTAAGGGAATGCGTGGCGTGCAGTCCAGTGGCCGCCGCCGAGATGAGGAGGGCGCAACGGCTTGAGGGGGAGGGCCCACGCGCGGCGGGCTTTCCTGGCCCACCGCTCCAGGCAGCCCTCGCTCGCGGATGACGCTCCGTTCTTCTCGCCCTCCTCCTCCTCCTGCTGCTCCTCCTGCTGCTGCTCCTCCTCCTCCGCTACCTCCTCAATTCTTGACCCTTCTCCCCTTCTCTCTCTCTCTCTCTCGTTTCTCTCTCTCTCTCTCTCTCTCCTCTAAGCCTCCACCGCATACGTTTCCTCCTCCCTCCTCCGCCTCTTCCCCTCCTCCTCCCTCTGGTCGTGCTTCGCCCCTCTCGCCCCCTCGTCCGCACCCGTCCTCCTTCCGCCTCCTCCTGCTCCCACATGCTTCCTCGCCTCGTCCCGCCTCGTCTGTTTCCTCCAGCTTCCTCTCTCGTTCGCCAGCCCTCCTCCCTCGTCATGCATCTCTCATCCCGCTCAAGCTCGCTCTGTTCGCCCGCCCTCATCCGTGCTTCCCTTCTCCTCCTCCCTCTCCCCTATCCTCCCTCTCGCCCTTGCCCTCCTGGGGCGTGAGGCGCCACAGTTTATACAGGCATCGCGCTCTCGCGGGGACTTCCTCGCATCTTATTCCGACGCCGCGCCCTCGACACTCAGGAATCATGTCCTCGCTGTGGATTTCCTCACGGTTTTATGTGGGACAGTCGCCCGTCCCGCGCGATGAGGTGGCAGAAGAGGGGGGCGGGCACGACGCTTCTGCTTGCGCAGAACTCAGAAAGCTCGGAACCTACCACTTTCGAACGCCAGGCAACGTTGATCTCCGAGTGCCAGGCCCCCACCGGCAACCACCTTTTGGAAAACGGTGGGTGGAAACGTGATCTGTGGCAAGGGGTTGGGAGCAGATTGGAATCCAGTCCGCCCCCCTGAGGTGGTTGAGAGCCCGTGCGAAACGTGTCGTGCAAATCTCATTCAATCGCACCCTCGCTCTCCCCTCCCTGCGGTATCATTGATTAAGATGTTTTATTATACTGCTTATGGTGAGTATCCTCCTTCCTTTTCTGGCCCATCCATGTTCCCCTTCTCGGCCTCCCTCTCTCAACCCTCTCTCATCTCCTGCTCTCTCCTTTCTCCCCGTTCCCCTCTCGCCCTTATCATCACCCTCACCCTCATCATCCTCCGTATATCCCTCCGACCCCCACACACAATGTTCACCCTCGTGTTCCAACGCCTCCTCCTCGTCGTTCTCGTGCTTGTCCTCCTCCTCCGCTTCCTCCTCCTCCTCCTCCTCCTCCTCCTCCTCCTCTTCCTCCTCCTCCCCTCCCCTCTTCTCATCCTCTTCATCATCCAGCCTCGCCTCCCCCTTCCCTCCCCCTCCTTCCTCCCTCCCGTACCCTACCAACCAACTTCCTCTGGCAACACGGAATCACAGCCGCACTCTACCACCCCCTCTGCTCAGCGCAGAGATCGCGACGTAGGACGCATGACTCCAGGACGAGCCGCAGAAAATCACGCAACAAC